GAAGAAATCTTTTTAAATTTCAAGAGTAGGGATTTCAGATAAGTTATTTGGCTTTATGACATCATTCATATATAAATGTTGGGGTTCAGAGCCAATGGCCAAGAAAAAATTCTAGATCTGTCTTCAGTGAAAAGAGGTGATTTTTATTAAAGCACAGGGACAGGGATCCCTGGGTGGCGCAGCGGTTTGGCGCCTGCCTTTGGCCCAGGGCGCGATCCTGGAGACCCGGGATCGAATCCCACGTCGCGCTCCCGGTGCATGGAGCCTGCTTCTCCCTCTGCCTATGTCTCTGCCTCTCTCTCTCTCTGTGTGTGTGACTATCATAAATAAACAAAAAAAATTTTAAAAAAAAAATTTAAAAAAAAAAAAAGCACAGGGACAGGACGGGTGGGCAGAAAGACCTATGCTGCGGTTTTGACGGGTGACTGATTATGTACTTTCAAGTTGAGAGAGGGTTAGGGATGGGGTAAGTCTCTAAGGAACTTTGAAAGCAAAGTTTTCAGGACCTTGAGGGGGGCCAGCAACTGTTGGGAAAAAGCCATTTATTACTGTCTTGTAAAACCTTAGTCATAAGACCCCTCAGATGTATATCAGTAGGCCATATTCTTGGAGGATGATTGCTAACATGTATCTTGGGAGTAGAAATAAAGGAAGCTTCCAAAGGTATTTTTACATGTTAAAGAAGATTTACAGGATACTGGAAGTCAGGATAATGTTAATCTAAGATTGCCTTTTGCCCTTAACAAAGTATTAACATAGAGGCAGCTGACTTCCTAGAGCGAAGGTCACTCTACCTGTTTCAAGAACTTGTCAGTGGGCTGTAGGCAATAAAGAAATTTAATTCTTTTCTTCTGCCTTTGTTTCCCACATCATATAAGTAAATGGAAACCAGGAGGGACTCTCACTTTAGAAATACAGGACAACCTGAAAGCATCAAGGGGTGCCTGTGTGGCTCAGTTACCTGGCCAGCTTTTGATTTTGGCTCAGGTCATGCTCTCAGAGTCCTGGGACCAAGCCTATGTCAGGCTCTGCACTCAGCCGGGAATCTGCTTGAGGATTCTCTCCCTCTTCCTTTGCCTCGTACGGGTGTGAGCATTCTCTCTCTCTCTAAAATAAAAAGTAAATCTTTTAAAGAAAATGTAAGATACTAATGGATTATAACCTACTAAATAAAGGATCCATGATAAATAAGAAATCTTCCTTACAATAGAATGCTAATACAGAAGCAATGATGGAATTAGAAAATTACCATTTTACATCACAGTAATAATTTCTCTTAACATCAATATTATGTTAAAACTAGTGGGTGAAAGTCTGATGAGAAAGAGGAGACTCACATAATCTCAATGTATCTCCCTACAGGGATCCCTGGGTGGCGCAGCGGTTTAGCGCCTGCCTTTGTCCCAGGGCGCGATCCTGGAGACCCGGGATCAAATCCCACGTCAGGCTCCCGGTGCATGGAGCCTGCTTCTCCCTCTGCCTATGTCTCTGCCTCTCTCTCTGTGTGTGTGTGACTATCATAAATAAAATTAAAAAAAAATTTAAAAAATATATATATCTCCCTACAAGTTATTTAAAAATCATAAAGGGAGGAGATCCCTGGGTGGCGCAGCGGTTTAGCCTATGTCTCTGCCTCTCTCTCGCTCTCTAATAAATAAATAAAAATTTAAAAAAATTAAAAAATAAAAAAAATAATCATAAAGGGAGAAGTAGTAACTTGAGTGTGGAAAAACCTGATAACTTTAGCCAAGTAAAGTTAACATCACCAATAATGGGATAAATCAACATTATGAGCTTCCTAACATGATGCGCTGAGAACACATATCACTTCTGTGAGACTCATGAGGAAATACCAGATGAACCTCAATCTGGGACAGTCGACAAAAAAGAAGACCTATACTCTTCAAAAATGTCAATGCCATCAAAGTCAAAGAAAGGCTGAGGGGCTTTTCTAACAAAGACTAAAGAGACATGAAAACTAAATGCAAGGCATGATCCTGGACTACCCTAAACCAAACTGAGAGAAAAACTGCCATAAAAAATATTAATGTGACAATTGGCAACATCTGAATGTAGGCTGAATAACAATATTGTATCACTGTTAAACTTCCTAGTTTTGCTGATTTTACTGTGGAAATGAAATGTGAACCTCCCTGCTCTTAGAAAATTCACACTACACTGACACAAGAATAAGGGGCATGTCTGCAACATTTTCAAATGGTTCAGAAAAATAACAAGGGGCACCTGGGTAGCTCAAAGGTTGAGTGGCCAACTCTTGGTTTCAATTCAGGTCATGATCTCAGGGTCCTGGGATCAAGCCCTGAATCCAGCCCCACGTGGGCTCCGTGAGGAGTCTGCTTGTGGATTCTCTCTCTTCTTCTTCCTCCACCCCTCCCTGAGTACACACCCTCTCACACACATGCTCTCTCTCCCCCTCTCGCACTCTTGTACACTTTCTCTCAAATAAACTAAATATATGTATTTTTTTACTTATTTGAGAGAGAGCAAGTGAGGGGCAGAGGGAGAGGCAGGCTCCCCACTGAGCAGGGAGCCCAACATGAGGCTCAATCTCAGGACCCAGGGATCATGACTGAGCCAAAAGCAGATGCTTAACTGTGCCACCCAGGCACCCCCAAATATATAAATCTTTAAAAAAAAAAAAAAGAAAGAAAAAGTATACATGAAAAGAGATGAAGCAAATGTGTCAAACTGTTAACAGCTGGTGAAACTAAAAAGATTTTGAGAATTACGTATATTATTCTTACAACTTTCCTGTAAGTTTGAAATTATTTCAAAATTTTAAAAAGTCATGTATGTGTATTTACGGATCTATTTTGGAAGTGTTCCTATCACTTCCTTATATTCTTGAAATTCCACTCTGAAATGTTCTTATTCCTTTAGAGCAAGCACTCTACTTAGCCTGACTTCAGATTTTCAAAATGAGTCAAGGTCAAGCTTTTTGGCAAACCACAATAAAGATCTGAAAATAGGGATCCCTGGGTGGCGCAGCGGTTTGGCGCCTGCCTTTGGCCCAGGGCGCGATCCTGGAGACCCGGGATCGAATCCCACGTCGGGCTCCCGGTGCATGGAGCCTGCTTCTCCCTCTGCCTGTGTCTCTGACTCTATCTGTGTGATTATCATAAATAAATAAAAATTAAAAAAAAAAGATCTGAAAATACCATGTATGTCTATTAGCAAATTGTGTGACAAGAATTTCTTAAGCTAATCATTTCATTTTTCACTATCTACAAGACATCCTAAATTGTCCCCACTAAAGTTACTTCATTCATTCATTCATTTATTTGCAAGAAAGAAAACATGATGGGGGAGAGGGGGAGAGGGAGAGAGAGAAGCAGGTTCCCGGCTGAGCAGGGAGCTCCATGTGGGGCTTGATACCAGGACCCTGAGATCAAGAGTTGAGCCCAAGGCAGAAGATTAATCAACTGAGCCACCCAGGTGCCAAATTATTTCACTTATGCCAGACTTCTAACCTGCCCACAAAATTACCTTTTAATAACCGCGTAGCTATTTTCTGCCAGTCTGACTCTATACGTGGCATCTTCCAAAGCCATGACTCTAACTTGTTTATGCCTACATCTTCTGGGGAGAAAAATGTTTTGGGAGAAAGACTGACCTGAAGGATGGAGATCTGAACTTTTCTCACAGGGGAAAGGGGCACACAGGTTTTGTTGTTGTTTAATGAAGCAAGGAATACACACACATACAAAAGAGCCTACAGACATCTCGGAAGATTGCAAGTTCTGTCTCAGGGAGAAAATCTCTGGGGTGGACAGGAAAATATACACGCCTAAAACAACCTGCGGAAAAGGACAAACCTGCGGAAAAGGAAAAAGGTCACCAAGGTCTCTGACCCAGTTTAACGGCCTTGTTTTTCACTTAACTGGAAAACTTAGAGAATCCACAATATAAATTGTCACTTCACTTGTAATCGGTCAGTCTCCAAACACTATCATCCCACACAAGATGGAAATGTGGCAAACATGATTTCTAAGTAAAGCATCAGAAAGCGACCGCGGTCAGCAGCCCCGCTCCTCGGCCAGCACCGCAGATCCGGGTGCAGTGACCTAGGTCAGCAGCCCCTACTCCTCGGCCAGCTCGCTCGGCAGACCCGCGGTACAGACGCCTGCCCTCCAGGCCCGCGGCGGCTGCCCCCCGTCCGACCCCCACCCCCCGCCAGCTCCCCGCCCAGGCCCTACCCTGACCCCGACCCCTGCCCCATCTCCTCGGCCCCGCCCCCGCCCCCTGCCCCTCTGGCTCCGTCTCCTCGGCCTCCGCCCCGCCCCCGCCCCTGTCCGTCGTCTCCTCGGCCCCCGTCCCGCCCCCTGCCCCTCGGGCCGTCTCCTCGGCCCCCGCCCCCTACCCCTGGGCCCCACCCCGCCCCTTGCCCCCCGTTCCCGCCCTCCCCGTCTCTCCGACCCCGCCCCTAGCCCCGCCCCCGCCTCCTCGGACCCGCCCTTCGCCCCCCATCTCCTCGGCCCCGCCCCTGGCCACCGCCCCCTTCCCTGCTCCGTCTCCTCGGCCCCCGCCCCGCCCCCACCCCCGTCTCCTAGGCCACGCCCCTCGCCCCAACCCGTGGTTCCCAGCCCCGCCCCGGCCCCGCCCCCGCCCCACGGGCCCCGCCTCCTGCCGCCCGACCCCGCCCCCTGCCCCTCGGGCCCCCAGTCTCCTTGGCCCCCCCGCCCCCCGCGGGAGCGCACCCGCGGGCCGCCCGAGGAAAGGCTTCGGTGTCCGGGACGCGGGCCCCGGGGCGCCGCGGAACCTCCCGCACCCCATGGGCCCCGCCGGGAGCTCGCGGGTCCGACGCAGGGCAGCCGGCCGCGCACCTGAGGTCACCCTGACCCGCACCTCGGCCCGGCCCCGCCCCGCCCGAAGGAGCCCGGCGCCCGCCGCACAGCCCCGGCCCGCCTGCCTGCGCCCCGGCCCGTCGGCGCCCAGGCCCCCGCGGGGCAGCAGCCGGCCCGCCTCCCTCCGGCACTCACCGCCCGCCGGAGCCGAGTTGCGGCCGCCGCTCGGAACATGGCGTCCGCTCCGTCCGCCTCGCAGCGCCGTCACTGCGGCCGCGCAGCTCGGGAATACCGCGAGACGCTCGGTCTCAGCAGCCCATTGGCCGGGCGGCAGCCAATGGGGATGGCGGAAGGCGGGGGCGGGGCCTGGGAAGTGGGGCAAAGGGGAGGCCTCGCGCGGCGGCCGGGCGGGGGCGGCGGGAGCACCTGCCTCCCCGCCGCGGCGCTTGCCCGGGAGCCCCGGCCGCTCTGCCCGCCTCCCGCCGCGCGGGGACACCCCTCGCCCTGCTCCCGTCGGATCACGCAGGTCAGCGCTGCACCTGCCCCGGGTCAGCCCGTCTTCCAGTTCAGGGCACGTGATACGGGGACGCGGCGGCCTCCCCAGACGGCGCGGGAAACCTACAGGTGAGCAGGGAGAGGCACCCACCTGGGCGCCGGGTGGCCGGGTCACGGTCGCAGCGTCCTGCAAGGCAGCATCAGGCCCCCACCCGGCCTGTTTCCCGCGGGCAGCGGGCTCGCCCTCTCGCCTTATTTAAAAGAAGAGAGAGAAGACTCAAACTAATAAAATCATGAACGAGAAAGGAGAGATCACTACCACCACCAAGGAAATACAAACGATTTTAAAAACATATTATGAGCAGCTCTACGCCAATAAATTAGGCAATCTAGAAGAAATGGACGCATTCCTGGAAAGCCACAAACTACCAAAACTGGAGCAGGAAGAAATAGAAAACCTGAGCAGGCCAATAACCAGGGAGGAAATTGAAGCAGTCGTCAAAAACCTCCCAAGACACAAAAGTCCAGGGCCAGATGGCTTCCCAGGGGAATTCTATCAAACGTTTAAAGAAGAAACCATACCTATTCTACTAAAGCTGTTTGGAAAGATAGAAAGAGATGGAGTACTTCCAAAATCGTTCTATGAGGCCAGCATCACCTTAATTCCAAAACCAGACAAAGACCCCACCAAAAAGGAGAATTATAGACCCATATCCCTGATGAACATGGATGCAAAAATTCTCAACAAGATACTAGCCGATAGGGGATCCCTGGGTGGCACAGCGGTTTGGTGCCTGCCTTTGGCCCAGGGCGCGATCCTGGAGATCCAGGACCGAATCCCACGTCGGGCTCCTGGTGCATGGAGCCTGCTTCTCCCTCTGCCTGTGTCTCTGCCTCTCTCTTTCTCTCTGTGACTATCATAAATAAATAAAAAAATAAAAAAAAGATACTAGCCAATAGGATCCAACCGTACATTAAGGAAATTATTCACCATGACCAAGTAGCATTTATTCCCGGGACACAAGGCTGGTTCAACACTCGTAAAACAATCAATATCATTCATCATATCAGCAAGAGAAAAACCAAGAAACATATGATCCTCTCAATAGATGCAGAGAAAGCATTTGACAAAATACAGTATCCATTCCTGATCTCGCTCTCAATTACATAAAATCTCAAATTAAGAAAAGAACCGGGCCCCAGGGGGAGCTCAGCGATTGAGCATCTGCCTTTGGCGCAGGGTGTGACCCCGGGGTCCTGGGATCGAGTCCCACGTCGGCTCCCCACAGGGAGCCTGCTTCTCCCTCTGCCTGTGTCTCTGCCTCTCTCTCTCTTTCTGTTTCTCATGAATAAATAAAATCTTTTAAAAAGAAAGAAAGAAAGAAAAAGAAAGAAAAGAACAGAACCATGTAGGTAAAAGCCCATAAGGGGAAGGTCCAAGGACAGGAATGGAGCCATGCGCTGCTGCAGAAAGAGGCAGAGAGGCTGGAGACACAACTACAACTACCGTCCTCCTTGGGCAAGGCCTTCAATGTGGGTGAATTGCCCACCCTGGCCCTTGCTTGCTCCACCTTTCTTGTCCCTGGGCACCCCACCCACATCCTGGCTTCAGTGCCCTTGGCTGCCAAATCTCTCCTGACCTTTACATCCACATGTACACCTGCCCACTTGGGCATCTCCTCAGGATGTCCCTCAACAACTCAAACCCACACGTACACAGTTGACAGCATCCCCTTCCAGATTTAATTCTCCCGTATTCCCTTTGTCAGGAAGTGCTTTTCACCTCCACTCAACTGCTCAAGCCAGAAACAGCTCCCAGATCCATCTAGGACTCCCTTCTACCCCACTCCGTGTTGGGATTGCTGCGGTTGCCTTCTTACTGTTCTCTTTTATTATTATTATTATTTATTTATTTACGATAGTCATACAGAGAGAGAGAGAGAGAGAGAGAGAGAGAGAGAGAGAGAGGCAGAGACACAGGCAGAGACACAGGCAGAGGGAGAAGCAGGCTCCATACACCGGGAGCCCGACGTGGGATCCGATCCTGGGTCTCCAGGATCGCGCCCTGGGCCAAAGGCAGGCGCCAAACTGCTGCGCCACCCAGGGATCCCCTTCTTACTGTTCTCTTAACTTCTAGTCTTCGCCCTCCAATCCATCGCCTACTGCAAATAAAGGGCTCTTTCAAAAGGGTAAATTGGGGGCAACTGGGTGGCTCAGGGTGTGATCCCAGAGTCCTGGGATCAAGTCCCACATCAGGCTCCCCTCAAGGAGCCTGCTTCTCCCTCTGCCTGTGTCTCTGCCTCTCTCATGAATAAATGAATAAAATATTTTAATGAATAAATAAATAAATAAATAAATAATAAAGGGTAAATCTATGATGTTACTCCTCTGTTGAACACACTTCAGTGCCCCATCATGGGCTTTCCCCCTCTCCCCACCATGGGCTTATATAATAAAATGCAAACACCCTACCATGACATATAAGCCCTGTGTGAACTAATCCTTTTCTCTTGAGACTTGTCTTCAACACCCCCCCCTCGCCCCGTGGCCATACAGAACTTCCTATCTTCCAATGCCCTACCCCCTCTGCCTCCCCTCTCATTTCTTCCTCCATCTCCATTTACTCCTGCAACTTGTTAATACCTATTCATTCTTGGGCAGCCTGAGTGGCTCAGCGGTTTAGCACTGCCTTCAGCCCAGGGCCTGATCCTGGAGACCTGGGATTGAGTCCCGCGTCGGGCTCCCTGAGTGGAGCCCGCTTCTCCCTCTGCCTGTGTCTCTGCCTCTCTCTCCATGTCTCCCATGAATAAAAGAATAAAATCTTTTAAAAAAAAAAACCTATTTATTCTTGAACTTTTGGCTTGAACATTCCTCCTCCCACTAACTCTGAATGAGGTACCTCTCCCATGTACCCCTATTTTCACCTGTACTTTCCCTATACTGGCAGTTGTCACATGGGTTGTAATGACCTGGTTACTTGTCTGTCTCACCCATCTGACTATAAGGCCTGTAAAGGCAGAGAAGCTATCCCTATCTCCATTATTATTATTATTATTATTATTATTATTATTATTATTATTATTTTGAGTCTTCAACACCTTGCACAGTGCCTGGCTCACAGTAGGCATTCAGTCAGTATTTGTTGAATGAATCAACGAACTAATGAATGACTTGCTAAAAAAGGCTGGACTTTACCGTGAAATTTTTAAGCAGGAGAGTGACATGTTCAGAAAGGATCTCAATTCCCAATTTGTCAACAATCAACCTTTCCATCCTTGTCAAGTCTAACAAATCCCATCGGCTTTCCCTTCAAAAGATGCCTACAAATCAACAACTTCTCCCAACACCTCTTTATTCCTCCACCTGGAAGCCACACCTGGAACTTATTGTCTCCTTGCTTGCTTGCTTTTTTTTTTTTTTCCTTGCTTGCATTCAATCCTAAATTTCCCTCTCAGCCAGCATCTCTTCTGATCTCGATGGCTTCCCCGAGGATCTGAGCCCCTAACCACCACAACTTCTCAGGGGCTCAGGGGTGCTGCTCTTGCCCATTTATTGTCAAAATTGAGTAAGAGAGTACTGAGAAGCACCTAAGTAGATCACTCTTGGCCAAGATGATGACTCTCCTTCTTGCCTGCTGGTCCCTACAAACAAGGTGCCAAGAGCGCTCAGGTAGCCTCTGCAGCTTACAGTTCAATAGGACTGCTGCTGTGTCCTTTTGTGGAAGATTCCCCTTTGGGGACAAATACCTCTATCCCTGCAGGGCCCAGAGATCTGGAATTGTGAGATCTGGAAGCCCAAATTCTACAAATGCCCATTGAGAGTGACGGTACTAGGTCCCTCTTGCTCCTACCTCCTTGGTTCCTGGGCCCATGTATTCTTCTGACTGGGCACACAGCACCGTATAAAGGTCTTTGATTCAAGATGGATGTGGCTTCCTGGAAGATGAACCCCATCCTCATAAGGTATTGCCTCTACACTGGAGCTTCAAGCAGGCATCAGGAGGCCATTCCAACACCCTATCAGGCCAGCAGCTCTGGGTGGTCCAGTATATGACTAGATGACTCAGTTCTGTGATCATGGACTCATTCCTGCACGTCCACTTCAGTGAGTTGGGTCCCTGACCTGATGTTGTGTAAGATCTTGTGCTGGTGAATGAAATCTTCAAAAAGCCTTCAGGTAGCGGTACTGAACGGGATCTTGTGGGCAGGAAAGGTAAACAGTACCCAGAATACGCTATTTCCTATCAGGATGAGTCATGGCTCCACCAGGATGGAAGGGATTCCATGTAGTCAAGTTACCACTACCTGGCCAATTGGTCTCCTGGAGGATGGTTATGACGTCGGCGGCATATTCAACAGTAGCTGACAGTGGTCCTTGTAAGCGGGAGCCCATGCTGTCAGGCTCACACTAGCCTCTGCATCTACCACTGTGGCCACTTTATCCGTGTCTCCTTCGAGCCAGCACTGGGCAGCTGATGAGAGACTGGCTGAGGTTGCCTGCCCAAGTGAATTTTGCCTTTTTTAGTTATTTAGTGTCTCTTCCATGGTGAATGCTTTCTAGCTGGTGTTGCCATGTGATACAAAGATCCTACTCGGGGTATTTGGCTGGCTCAGTCAGTAGAGCATGTAACTCTTGATCTTGGGCTCATGAGTTCAAGCCCCATGTTGGGTGTGGAGACTACTTAAAGATCTTCATGCCTTGTGGTAATTCCCATACGTCTATCCATCCTTGTGTCTCTATCCCAAACTCTTTGTCCCTAATCTTCCCAAATTTCTTCTTCCAGGC